TTTGTTTTCCTCTTTTTTTTTTTTTTTTTGTATTTCTGCTCTGCAAGGCTTTGTTTGGAGTTCAGAAGGCGTGAGGAAGAGGGATATAAAGGGGAAAAAGCAAAGAGAGAGAAATGAGGATGGTGAACTACGGCGTCGTTTCGAGGATGGTGAAGAGGAAAAAGAGAGCGTTGATCTAATCTTAATCTCACCGACCTCTCGCAAAATGACGCGTGAAAACAGAAGGCGATTGGCCGCCTTGTTTGAGCAAAAAAATGAGAGTGGAGGTACGTGGCGGAAGACGACTCCGTCTTTCAGGGGGTCCAACTCACACGTACCCCATTTTAACGGGAACCGTCATATCGCCGTTACGTTGGTTCGCTTTCACGTCGCTGTCTTCGATTATTTATTGAATGACGCCGTTGGTGCAGGAGGTGTTAGTTGTCGTTTTGTGATCTCTCTTCGAAGGTGGGCCCCCACGTGATGTGGTTGGACTGGTCAGGACGGTAACCCGCATCATTTTTTACCTCTATTCAACGATTATCTCAATAATCTGAAATTTAAAAAAGAAAATATATATATATATATATAAATCTAACAAAACTCGAATTTTGCAATTAAAAAAATACAAAACAAAAGTAGTAACAAAATCAAAAAGTGAGTGGACCTGGAATTCTTATATTCCCAAGAAAGAAAAAAAACATGTTTGTTTAGGGAGAGAGAATATTAAAGAGTAAAAAGGGAAAAAAAAAAAGAGTAATTTGTTAATATATGGTTGAAGGAAATTTTTTTAAAAATTTTAAAAATATTTTTGAAGTTTTTAGAATAATTTAAAGGTGTTTTTAATTTTTTATTTTATTTTTTTAAGTTTTAAGAGTATTTTTTAAACTATTTTAAAATTTTAAGACAATTTTTATAACAATATTAACTATTTCCTTACAAAACTATTTAACTATTTTTTATTAGTTTAATGGTTTTTTTTTTTTTTGGATTTTTTTAAAATTTCAACCCTATTATTAAAATTATTGAAAATTTATGAGTATTTTTTAGATAAAAATTAAAGTTAAATAGTGTTTTTATTAATTTAGTTTTTTTTTTTTTTTTACTATTTCAAAAGCAAGAGAAAAAAAAATCTCTTTGACCGAAGTTTCATCCACAAGTGGGTGACGTGGAATTAATCAATTTCGATGATTTTCAAAAATCTTTTAATAATTAAAAAATAAAATAAAGAGAGACGAGCAAGTTGAATGTGACGTGTCGAAAGATGCTCTAAGTAGTCCGATGGGAAAGTCAGAAGAACCCTCCGTTGTCGGGCGAACACGTGGCTTCAAACTAGAGGCCGCTGCGAATCTTCCTTTATTACTGAAATTATGCATAAAATTCAGTTTTGTTTTCTAAATAAAAGTAACCATTAATTATTCTAACTTTTATTATAATTTTTAGTTTCTAACTTAACTTTGTTATATTTTAAAATTTGATGTAAAAACTATTCTTAACATTTATTATATAAAATCTTACCTACAATATTAAAAAATATGTATAACAATTATAATTACAACACATACAATGATATCATACACTCGTTGTTGGACATTTTAAGCTATAGTTTTAATTACACGTCGTTATTCAGCTATATCCATCAAATAATACATTCACTCAAGATCATAAAAATATCAACGCACCCCAACAATTAGTGGTTTAGATTGATCAGATCTTAGCCACACAAAAAACCTAACCCTCAAATTTGGGACCGAGCTCTCTCTTTCACCCCATTTATGTTTTCTACCCTCGTGGTTATGTGTCGATTTTTAATATATAATAACATATTTAATTATTGTTTATTTAAAATATTATTAAGTTTATAATTATTGTAGACATATTAAAAATATTTTCGGTAATTGAGCGAAATTGATAGCCAGATTATAACATTGGGCTGCGGCTATGATGAGGCCCATTGGGCCAAGGCCCACCCCACGGACACATCATAGAAATAAATTGGATGTGTGATAGAAAATGAAAAGTGAGGAGAACCACGGGAAGGGTTTTGTCTTGTTTAAATGCTCTATCCGCTCACATTCTTCAATCAAAAACCACATATTTTCTTCCCATACGTAAATTTCAACAAGATAAGTATTTTATGGTACAAAAATTTATATTTACTTTTTTTTTTATATATATAAAAAAATAAAATTAAATATTCTCTATGTCTCGAGTCGACATATTTTCTCCATTAAAGATATTTATTATATAAATAACACATTAACTAACTTAATTTTAATTATTTTGTTCTAGAGCAAGCTGTTGAGTCTTATTCATATATTGACAGTTAAGAATTTTTTTTTTCTTTTTTTTTTGTAGGGCTTGAAATGAAAAGGCGGGCTAGAATACCAACAAACGTCTATTAGTGATTCATCTGACCCGACAATACCTCATTTTTTTGTTATTATCGAGTACTGTAGTCACTAAATGATTTAGTAGTCCGTCCCTAAAACAAGCTGTGCAATGTCCTTTATTTATATGTTATTTGTTAGGTTAAAGGCGAGCATTTTAGCGTTGTTTTTTTTTTTTTTGGGTAATATTATTCTATCCTGATTTATTTTCCTTTTAAGGATATGCTCGAGGTGGTACGTTTTTAAATTGAACTCTCGTATATTAAAAAATTACTTTGAAAATAATAAAATTACCCTAATTAAACATTGATTGATAGATACTATAAATTTAAATATAGAGTGAAAATATTTGAAAAAGGTTGAAAATAATATAATTTTCTAGAAAATGTTAGGAATAAAATAAAGTTGAAGGATTAGGATAAAGCGTTAATTGTCTCGCTTTCTCACGGTTGGCGCCACAGTCGATAACAGAAAAAGAAAAAGAAAAAGAAAAAGAAAAAGAAAAAAGAAAAGGAAAAGGAAAGGGAAAAGGAAAAGGCGAGAGAAATGCGGGAAGAAGAGGAATCTGGTGTAGCCAATTTCGGGCTTCCCGAGGAAGTACTGGAAGTCTTACCGTCGGATCCATTTGAGCAGCTCGATGTGGCTCGGAAAATCACTTCCATTGCTCTCTCCATGCGTGTTTCTGCGCTCGAATCCGAATCCTCCGCTCTCCGTGCTCAGCTTTCCGAGAAGGACGCGCTCATCGCGGAGTTGCAATCGCAGATCGAGTCACTCGATGCCGCCCTATCCGAGAAATCCGAAATTCTCGCCCGCGCCGATCAGGAAAAGGTTCAGCCGGTTCATTTGTTTTTTTTTTTCCCCTTTCTATTGCTGCTTGACTTTGTTTTGATTTGGATTATGCACTTGTGCTCACTGCAATTTGCAGGAGACGTTGTTGCAAGAGAATGCATCGCTTTCTAACACCGTGAAGAAGCTTACTCGAGATGTCTCGAAGGTATGGTCTTAGTTTTTAGTTCTTAGTCGTTTGTTGTTTGTGTATTTTGGAATTTTCGCAACGATTACTTACACTAACATTTCAAGTTAATTACGATGAATACGCAAATTTTGGAAGTTACAATGGAGTCAATTTATGATTACCATTAGGATAGGATTTCCAAACTTTTGGAAAATAGTACTATAAATCATGACCTATTGACTTCCAAATTTTTGTTCTGTCAATTGACATAGTGGTGTTTTTTGAAATCCATCGTAAGGTTCATAGTTTTATTTTTATCTGGAAGAAAATGGTGGAACCTTTTGAATCAGCAGGCAAAAGTGCAGGGGACTACTTCCATTAATATATGTAAAATTTGTTATCTTCTATGAAATAAGAGGTTCGACTCTCTTGCATTGTTTGCAGTTGGAAGTCTTCCGAAAGACGCTAATGCAGTCCCTTCATGAGGAAGAGAGCTCCGTAAGTTTTCTTTATCCAATGCCTAAATTGCAATATTGGTACCTAAGAAGCATATGATAGACACGAGATACATATAGATATTGATACATCAGACACGCGATGATATATCATTTTTTCATAATCTAGGAGACAAGACACGACAAGGACTCGTTGATAAACATAACTTTTTAAAAACATATTCTGATTTTTTATTCGAAGAAAATTAAAAGTCAATAAGCTTATGCATTTCCATCCATTAAAAATGAGTTTGATGTATTTTACTCTCAAATTATGTACGGAAGAGGAGGCCTTATCCTCAAAGACACGACGGTTAGTTTCCAACTTCAAGTTCCAAATCAAAGCTCTAACCGCCATAGCCTAACAAGTTTTCAATACACATTGGACTGGGACACGTTAACCAACAATAATATCCGTGCTTCTGTGATTGACCCTTTGTTCTATATCCATCAACATCCTAATTCTGATTCCAACTTTAACGACTTGCTTTTCGAGCTCGTCGAGTTACGGATCATCACTACTGATAGAAAATTTTAAATGGAAAGCAACAGTTGGTAAAAACACAAACACTCATTTATAAACATACTCATAAAACATACGATAAAAAGTTTTTGAGAAGCATGCTGAAGTCAACATTTTTTTATATCAACCCTCTTTGTGCTACTACAGACAGGAAGTTCAGAGGCTGTCGTTAAACTAGAGAGTCAGGAAAGTTTGCCCTCTGCTCCGCAGGTTGGAGGTACTATAAGTTACTTAAAGTCAGTTTCTGTGTTTGCACATTATTGTTGTTCATAGATTGATTTTTCATGGCTTACTTGTAATTGTAAAGCACATAAATGATTTTATATGATAATCAAATTGGTTACTTTTGTACGGGTCTCGCAATTTCCCTAATGTATGCCTTCGGTTCTGACTAGTACATTTTCTTTTTGTTTTAGAAGATGATTTATCATTGCCACCATCTAAATACTCATCAATCCAGAGCAACGCCTCTGAAACAGTGAACCCTGTAAAAGATGAGCCT